AAGTAATTTTATTGTTCAATCTAGTTCATAATTTTAAAATAATATATTATGAATATGTACAATTTATAATAGTTTAATATTTTTTAATTACATCTAACATAGTTTAATACAATTCAGTTACAACTTTATAAAGTCGATCAACTTCAATTTTTTTTTTTTGGAGTAATCTCAAAGATATCTTCCGATTGTAACTGAAGATTAGTACTAACCGAGCATTATTGGACCCTTTGGGAAGCGGCTCCTTCAAATCTTTTTTTTTTCATTATTAGGTCTTGAACTCAGATTCAGGCTTCTTACCATCTGTGCCAAAGAAGTTTGGTAACAACTCAAATCTTAGCATACAAACCAACTTAAAATACTATCACATAGAAATATGGGGAAAAATATATTTACCACCAAAAAAGTTTACAACATTTACAACTAACCTAAACACCATTGATTTTCGTCAATTTAAAGGTTATAATTTATTGGAAATTATGAGATTACTTTTATTATTAATTATTAATTTCCAATAAATTATAATCGTTAGATTGACGGAAATCGACAGTGATTAGGTTGGTTGTAAAGGTGGTAAAATTTTTTAGTGATAAGTATATCCTCCCGTAGAAATATACCTTAAAATTTAATATTTCAAAGTTATATTTATATTTTTAAAGTTACATAGAAATACTTTTACTTAATCATTTAAGCATATAATTTTATATCTTACACTTGTGTAAGGTACATTATTAATCTTGATTAATAATTTTATTTATATTTAATAATTTTTATTTGCTAAATATACGAGTGTTAGATGCAAATGAATTAATGACTAAGTTAGATGTAAGACTTTTTTTATTAGTATAAGTTAATCCAGCCGTGTATATATATATATATATATATATATATATATATATATATATATATATATATATATATATATGTGTGTGTGTAAAAAATATTTGTCTTTTTAAATGACAGAACTTATATCATTTCACTCTCACAAAGAGTTGAAACCTACAACTTTATTTTTTTTGTCCACTTTATCTCCTTCTTTATCTATCTCTTTCTCTCACTTAAAATGAAACAACTTTACATCCTTTAAAATGATACACACTTTTTCCTATATATATATATATATATATATATATATATAGGGGAAAAAGTATCTAATGTTACTTTAGATAACTTTACATAATGTTCATCGAAACGACGTCGTTTTGGGATTGAAAAATTAAAAAATTAGAATGATAAAGACTATTATAATCTTGAAATAAATTAAAATTATAAATACACTATGATTTCCGCCTCAAAACGAAGTCGTTTCAATGAACATTAGATAAAGTTATCTAAAGTAACTTTAGAAAAAACAAACCCATATATATATATATATATATATATATATATATATATATATATATATATATAGGGTTCGTTTTTTCTGCAGTTACTGTAGATAAGTTATTTGCAGTAAGCCCAATACGACGTCGTTTTTGGACGAAAATCATAATGTTTTTGTAATTTTAATTTATTTCAGGGTTATAATAGTCTTTATATTTATAATTTTTTAAGATTTCAATACCAAAACGACGTCGTTTTGAGAATAAATGCAGATAACTTATCTGCAGTAACTGCAGAAATATTTTTCCTATATATATATATATATATATATATCCTATTTTTTTAATTTTTAATTTTGCTTTCAACATACCATGTCCACCTTTTAAATATACTACGTACATATTAAATTTTTTAAAAAATTAAGAACGCCAGTATATTATATATTACAAGTAGTCAATAATATATCATCAAAATTTATAATAAAAAACTTGACCCAATATACGTGGACATTTTAAATTTTACAATAATGTAAGATTGTTGGATTAGGAACAGCTAAACTTTAATAATTGTATTAAAAAAATCTTGTGATGATCAATTTTACTAAAACATTAAAATTTCCAACTTAATTTAATGAAAATTATATATTATAATATTTTAATTAATAATATGCTTTTAAATAAATGACTGTGATTAATAATTAAATTTTCTCTCTTCTTTAAAGTTAAATTCTCTATTCTCTCCTTATTAATATTAGTGTTTATTACTAACTTTCTTAGTCAAAAATTGGGTGTAAGTTTTGATTTACAAGACACATACATGATGTAAATAGCAAATATTTTCTATATTACATGTGATATTTTAAATTTTTGTAAGATTCAAAATATATAAGTAAAAAACATATTTAAGATAAATAATATTTAAATTATAAAGGACATACATATATGTACATGAGTAATTGAATTAACATTTACATATAAATTATGAGAAAATACATTTTTTAGGGCAGAGTAGACAAAAATATTAAGTCACTCTCAAGACAATATTTCTAATTTGATGGATAAAAGTGAAATGATAAGTATAAAAAATGTAAAATTTTGTGAAAAAATAAATATTTAAAAGAAGATAATTTGAAAATATAAAATGAGATTTTAGGGGGAAAAAAGTTGAATGTAAAAAGAAAATTTAAATATAATTATTTTAATAATATAGGAACTAAAATTTGAAAATAAAAAAATGTAACGTAAAAAGATAAATTAAAATATAATTATTAACTCGTATTATCTATATTTTTAAAAATATAATTAATAATTGAAGACTTTTTAATAAAATACAAAATAGTAATAAACAAAAATGAAATCGCATATCTTAAGAAGGAAGACATTACAATAAAAAAATTATCTCACTTTCAAGTAATAACTTCATTCCATTTTATAGTGATAGATAATCTTCCCTCGTGCAAAACATGAATATTAACGTGGGCAACTTCGCTTGACATTATTTATAAAAATATAACAGCTTATCCTTAAGTGACCCTTGTGCAGTAGGGCCTACAAGGGAGGGCCATGACCCCATTTTTGTTTTAATTATATATTCATATTTTTATTCAAAACATTTTAACTGGGCACCTTAAATAAATCTTTTTAACAATAATTCTCTTCACCATTTTTTCCCTAGTTACACCCATGCCTATTATTTTGAAAATTTATTTAAATTCTTACTTAAAAATTATTTAAATAAATTGACTTAAGCTTCATAAGTTTTGAATAAACTTGAGCCTTTGATAGAGATTATTAGTATAATTAACGTTATATTGATTTTTTAAATGTTTCTACAGTTACTACAGATAAATTATCTGTATTTATTCCCAAAACGACGTCGTTTTGGTATTAAAATCTTAAAAAGTTATAAATATAAAGACTATTATAACCCTGAAATAAATTAAAATTACAAAAATACCATAATTTCTGTCTCAAAATGACATCGTATTGAATTTACAAAAAAAAATGAATCCATAGATCTAAACTTATTGTACTTATTCAAATATGATTTTCTAAAATCCGCAGAGACTTTTGACAAATTACTTATTGCAAAGTTTCTTTATGTCATAAGTGCTCTTTTGTTGAATTTAATTATTGATCACATGTTTACTTAATTATTTAATCTCTCCATCATTGCCTGTCATTGCAGATTTATTTATTTTTTTAAATAATTCTTGCATGTTTTATTTTATTATTTCACGCGTAAAAGCATAAGGAAAAAAAAAATGTATATGTTTTCTTCTGAAATGTCATTTGTAATTCTGTCGTTTTGATTTTGAAGTGATGGTGACCTTTTTTTACTATCTGTTTTTATTTATTTATTTATTTCATTTCCCCTTATGAAGGTACCTATTGCCCGCTTTTAATTACTATGACCCTACAGTTTACTGTTTATTTACACGGGTATCCTCCTTTTTTCCATAATAATCCAAACAAATATCAATCATACAAGTTCTTGAGGTGTGATTTTTTATTTTAATTTTTTGTATTGTTTAGGTGTGATTTTTTGACTCTGTTCTTATATTCTATGGTTCATTTTGATATTTATTCTATAAAAATTGTTCTGTAGCACAGAATATTTCGAACTTTGATACAGCATGAAAATGTTAAATGTGGTGCTAGATTTAACAGAAAGTTATAGATATGCGCGTATTTTACAAGATGGATAATATGTTAAAAGGTTTTTAAATGTAAGAACGAATTGAATTTCCAAAAATTATTAGTAAACTAAGGATTTTTTTTTTGTTAAATTTAATATCTCATTATTTAACAATTTCACAAATTTCTAAAATTTACAGAAAATTGTGCATTACAAAGTAAACATAAAGCAGTGAACACGAAAATGGGCAAAGTTAGTGTAGTGAAATAATTTAAGTCAAATTTTCCAATATGAACCGACTCAATTTTGTTAAAATGTATTCGATATTGTGTTTTGTTTTAAGTTTTAATAATATCTTTCGCATTTTTTCGTTAACAAAATACTATAGGATAGTGAATTTGATTATTAAAAGTCACAATTCTTAAGAAGAATAGAGACGTTCAAATTCAAAATTGGATTAACGGGTTCGTTAGAATTTCGAACACTGTTAGTAATTAAAAAAATAATACATCTATATAGTTACTTAGATATAAATAAAATTATGTATTAAATAAAGATATAAATAAAGTTAATTGTTGATAATGAATACTAGACTTACATTAGTATAAGTTGATGAGTCCTAAAAAGTTGTACAAACGTACTGTTTTCCGATATGGTATTTTTATAAGTCAAACAAAAGTCACGTTAACTAACCAAAAAATCGATTTAATAATTTTTAATTATGACTATTGGGGTTCATTTGTTATTAACAATAAGAGAAAAAAAAATTGAGTTGATGAGATTAGACCAGTCAATTTACTGTTTCTGCATAAGAATCAGTTACTGTTTAAAGATTTCAGCATTTTATATTCCAAGTTAGATCTTTATAAATAGGGCCTGGCCTCTGAGTTTTGTCACAGAACCAACTTTTGCTGAGTCCACACTTATAGCTGCTATCTGCATTTGAGTATCATCAGCAGAACCAAACCAACACTGCCTTGCCTTTTTATCCTATCACTAGCTTCATTCTTGATAACTGTGTTTTTCAAACCAAGAGCTCTCAAATGGCAGCTTTTTCATACCAATACGACCCTTTTCTTGTTGACTCGTCCTCATGCTTCACCAATAACCCCATAAATATGTCTTCTTCAGGGGAACAAGCCCATATGAACACTGCCCTTCATCCTCATCATTTTCGTATTCATCAGGATACTTCTTTTAGTGTCACAAATCAAGAAACTAGCCAAAGCTCCAAGATTACCATTAGTGATACCGAGCCTTCTGTGGTCAAAAACCAGAGTCCTGAAACCTCCATGGTTGTGGACAAGCTTGAAAAAGGTGAGCAGGTCACTCAGAAGGTAACTCCTATGGAGAAGAAAAGGAGAGCCACAAATGGATCCAAGGTATTTCTTTGATGCATTTTTTTTTAAATTTAAATATTTTGCTATATACTAGGAAGCGTATATATTTACAAACTTTTTATTTACAAATTCTTACAAATTACACTATGTAATTATATTAAGTTACATTTTTCGAAGTATATAATTTAATCGGAAATACATAGTGTAATTTATAAAAATTTGTAAACGGATCCTTCTCCATATACTATATATGTTAACAATAATTGATTCAGCCAACGAGCTGAGTAAGTGAAAAAGAAAGAGTCTCAATTCTTACGTATCATCTTTGAAAAAGGGTTTAAATATCTTCCCTCACCCGCTCTGCATTCGGATCAATCTCGTAGCCGGCTCAAAAAATTAAAGTTTGTAGAGATACGGGAAGGAACCAACTTGCCTCAAAAAAACTTAATTAGAGTTGGATTAACTCAAAGAAGAAAAAAGAATAATTGGTTCATGTTATTAATTTAATTACTTTGTGGTCATCTTATGAATCATTATAGGACTCAATAGAAGGGAGAAACAAGAAACAAAAGAAGAGCAATGATGGGGTGAAAGAAGAGAAGGAACAAAAAAATGGTCCTGAAGAGCCTCCAAAAGGTTATGTCCATGTCAGAGCAAGAAGAGGTCAAGCAACGGATAGCCATAGCCTTGCTGAAAGGGTAAAATACAATACTGTTAGTTGGATATATACCAGAATTACTAAAATGTCCCCAAAGTTCATGTCTCATTGTGAATGTCCCTAAATGCATTTCAGGTTAGAAGAGAGAAAATAAGTGAAAGGATGAAGATGTTGCAACGACTTGTGCCAGGTTGTGATAAGGTGAAGTTCATTTTCTTTAATCTTTTATGTTGAGTTGTTTTATATCTTTAATCATTTTCTTCTGACATCTTCATTTGATTTGGTTCCTAAATAGGTAACCGGAAAGGCCCTTGTGTTGGACGAAATAATCAATTATGTTCAGTCCTTACAGAATCAAGTTGAGGTAATGGTCCCAACAATATACTCAAAACTTTTCTTTTTTGGTTATTCCACCTTGTTCATTACGTACCTAAAATGTGTAAACCAACAATATATACCTTTATATTCTGCAGTTCTTGTCTATGAAACTTGCTTCCGTGAATCCAATGCTCTTTGATTTTGCAATGGACCTGGACACCCTCTTGGTTAAACCAGATCAGGTGATGAAATAGATCCCAGAAAATTTCATGTGCTGCTGATACACACACACACACACACATAAATCTAATGTGTGTGTGTGTAGTTATAAAAAATAAATCTAATGATGAAGTTTGGTCTCACTGAATTTTCAGAAATTAAATGGCATAGCATCACCATCACTATTACCATCTGTACCACAATGCAGCCCCACCCAAGTCACAGCTTTTGCTGATACAACAACCCTAACCACCACTACCACCAGCTTCCCCGTTGCTAGTTATGACTATCTTTTGGATTATTCATCTTCAGTTTTTCTTCAAGGGCAGATGTCAAATGTCTTTTCTGAGGTATAAACAGAAATGACCAAAGAATTGAATTTTACTTAAGAAGAGTAGGGATTTAAGATTTCTTCTTTTTCTTATGTATGTTTTTGACAAAACCAATTTTCATTATGCTGGTGGTCAGTTCTGGGATATAGAAGACCAACAACAAAAGTTTCTTCATCCATATGGATTCAGCAACAACTCATGTTCCTTAAATTAATATCAAATTCAGAGAGCTGTCCTACAAGGCTACAAAAATATATGTTGTAAGCTCTCAAATCATGCCTTTGTAGTAAAAGGAAAATGTTTTTTTCATGTTGCACGAGACAAATTGTCTCCTGCAATACACACAAAAGTGAGTGGAATCCATTGAAAAAAAGAAAGAGAAAGAAAAAAAGTGAATTCTACCTATTTTTTGTGTGTTGCATGAGATAATTTGTCACATGCAACATGAGAAAACATATCCCATTTATTAATACCTGTTTCTTAAGTCCTGACCCTTTTATTTTATTTTAATCTTTTTTAGGATTTATTGTTTCTAATAGGTAGGGGAAATCCAAACAACTACCAGAATCAGTGAAAAAGAAATTCTTATGCATGGGAATATATATATCAACATTCAAAGGAAGGGGAATTCGCGGCATAAGAATATGGCTTAGTTCCTAGTCCATCAGATTAAAGAGACCTTAGAACATGATGAATAAAGTGCATCAAAATCAATGGATGAAGACCACAAAGGACAGAAAATGCCGACCAAATAAGAACATATCTTTTATTTTAGATCCGTTGTTCTGTTCCTGTGTAGTTCCACCCCCCAAAAAGTCTTATGATGCGCAAATTTCAAGAGACTCTGTGTCAATCCTATAGATATCTGACATTGAAATTTATGTCATGTAAATTATTAAAACAAAAACTGATTCTTGTGGTGGCAGTTATTCTGTTGGTACAGTTAATTTCACCGTTATTGAGAAATGCAAGGCTGATGCTACTGAACAGTTATTGACAAGACAGGCCATGCATTTGTTGATTTAGTTAATTTATATCTGCAGAATCTTCAGAGTTTTGGCATTATTATGGTTATTTATTTAATTGTTATTATTTACGGTGTTGAGCGGTTTCGTTTTCCGACAATAGACAAATCCTGCGTACTTCCTATGGTTCAGTCACAAAGCTAGACTGACATGTTTAAAATTTTAAAAAATAAATAAAAACTAATCCAATCATACAATTGGTAAAAAATTTGAAACGACGAAATTGGTTTTGTGATGGTATAGAAACTACATGAAATTATATGTCTCATGTATATATGTCCCAATTGTATGATTGTTTGGATTAGTCTCCCATGTATTATTTGAAACGACCCTCTTGGGACATATATACATGAGAAATTTCAATTCTTTGTGATGGTATAGTCTCCCATGTATAGGGTAAAAAATTATTTTAACCCTAAAATTGAAATTATTATTGGTTGAGACGACACCAATAATTTTATTTTCTCTGACATAATCTATTACATGAAAATTTATTGAACTTGAATGGTGAATAATGCAACAAGTTTGTCCACATGTGCTAAGAAACTTTATAATATTTCTCTAACATACACACTTTTTTTTAATGAAAGAGATGATGATTTTTTTGTTGTAAGAATTTAAAATTCCAGGATATGTATGAAATCAAAGTAGGGATTGCGCATAGTTTATTGTTGTAAGAAAGATGAAGACAAAGAAGATGGTGCCCCAAAAGTCGAGTTGAAGGAGCTTCCCGAAACTCTTAAGTATATCTTCTTGGGCAATGAGGAGACTTACCCTGTTATCATTAATAGGGGTTGTCTTCTGAGCAGGAAAGGAAGTTGACAAAAGTGCTGAAAGAACATAAGACTGTTATAGCATGGTCTATTTCTGATTTAAAAGACATAAATCCTTCTTTCTGTACCCACAAAATTCTCATGGAGGATGATGTCAAACATATGAGGAAGCCTCAAGGGAGGCGTAATCCTACAAATAAGAAGGAAATGAGAAAGAAAGTGGTGAAACTCTTTGATACTAGTTGGAAGATGTATGTGGATTACCAGAGGATGAAGGCCGCCAAAAGGAGAATCTGTGAGAAGAGACACCAAGACTCTGTCTTTCAGAGAAAACAATACTTGAAAGAGTTCCTCACGTGGCTGTGTAACATCCCGGGCGCTGACGAGGGCGGGGAGTGATCGCCGGTGCGCAAGGGCACGGACAAGGAGCGGCTCCTGGCAGGCTTCTAGGGACGGGGGTACATGAATGAATCGAATCAACACCCGAAAGAGAGGGATTCCAGAGACTGTGCTGGTATGAGACGGTACAGTTGGGAATGACTTATAAGAATTAATTGGTACTACCTATACTAACAAGATGCATCTACTTTTCGGTAGCCCGGATCGGAAGAACTCCATAGTTAAGCGTGCTTGACTTGGAGCAATTCAGGGATGGGTGACCTCCTGGGAAGTTTTCCCGGGAAGTGTGCGAGTGAGGACAAAGCACGCTGAAAAGTCTCATGTTAGTGTGTGGGGACAATCGTTGATCCTTGCAAGTTGCCAGGCGTTACAAGTGGTATCAGAGCAGGGCCTCTCATCCAGTACGGTGTGGTTTGAGGACGAACCAGGCGGAAGCTGGTGGGCATGTAACATCCCGGGCGCTGACGAGGGCGGGGAGTGATCGCCGGTGCGCAAGGGCACAGACAAGGAGCGGCTCCTGGCAGGCTTTTAGGGACGGGGGTACATGAATGAATCGAATCAACACCCGAAAGAGAGGGATTTGGGAATGACTTATAAGAATTAATTGGTACTACCTATACTAACAAGATGCATCTACTTTTCGGTAGCCCGGATCGGAAGAACTCCACAGTTAAGCGTGCTTGACTTGGAACAATTCAGGGATGGGTGACCTCCTGGGAAGTTTTCCCGGGAAGTGTGCGAGTGAGGACAAAGCACGCTGAAAAGTCTCATGTTAGTGTGTGGGGACAGTCGTTGATCCTTGCAAGTTGCCAGGCGTTACAGGGGATGACATGGAGGATTGATTAAATCTCCTTACTGTCGGAGATTTATTGTATATTAGTTTATTTTTCTTTAGTACTTTTGCTGTTTTATTATGACCAAAGGTTGATGTTAGGGTCATTTAGCTGCTTTGAGTTGGTATATTTCTTAAACACTCTGATGTTATCTTGTGCGCATTATAGTTTATCCTATATGCCGCTGTTTGTTGCATGGTGCAGGTTTTTCATCCATCTTTTGGTTTGATTATTGTTGGGGACAACAATTCTTTAAATCTGGGAATGGTAGGCTTTAAGAAAGCATCTTGGAACTGCAATTCTTTTATCAGGGGAGATATTCTAAACTCTTTTATTTTCTTTATTTTATTTTAGTTGATATTGTGTGTTGATCTTTATCTTTATTTAAAAAAAAATTGATCAGTTTCTCAAGCAATTCTCAGGTTTAAATGTGCTTATCTAGTTAATGTGCTTGACTGAATTTTTAGAAGTATGTTGTATGACAATCTGGCATGACATTGCAATGGTATAATTGGATTACATGATTGCTCGTTTGTCTGAACTAATGTTGTGAAATTCTAATAATGTCTGAGGTCAATTTTCTTGAGTCTATATTGATATCATAGCTGTGAGGTTTGAGCTTAAACACTGAATTTCTTGTTGAGAGACCTCACTGTTGTAACACTCTAGAACTTGATCTATTTCTCTGTTATGCATGCATTGGTTGATATGATAAAGGCATTTTGTTCTTGTTAGCTTATGGCCAAAATAATCCACCTGAATGAATTTTTCCATTGTTAGCCCTTGAGCCTGAACTTAATTTGTTGATAAATGACCTGTGGCCTGATTGATGGATTAGCCTATATCCATGTGACTTACCTTGATTGAGATTGAATTACTGATGTGTTGAAAATAAACAAAGAAATTGAAGTAAGCTCCACAAAGGTCAAGTAATCAGAGGATGTAGATTTCATTTGTGCCCTTATTTAAAAAGGGGCAAAATGAAAAAAAAAAGAAAAGAAAAGAATGAATGTGTATAAAAGGTGGCTGACAGGAATTAGTTCCCGAAATTCTGTGGGAATGTTAGTGGAGCAAAACCATTGAGTTGAATGTGCTAAGTGAAATAATATCAGTTTTTCAATCTCATTGTTGTTTGAGCTATTATCCATATATTCCTACCCTTTAACCCAGCCAAGTTACAACCCGTGAAGTCCTTTTGATCAATTTATGCATGTGTTTGATTCTTCATTTTTAAAAACTTTTGAGAATATGATCAAGCCCATGGTAGTGTTATAGCTGTGATTGATTGAGTGATCATGATACCCTTAAACACTGAGTGTGGGTGGGCATTATTTATCTATGTGAGGGGTAATCAATGTAGACTTATATCTTTAAGAAGCTGATGACATTGTTGGGAATTTATGATATTGGGTCAGTCATGCATAGCATATTGTGTCTGAGAGTGTTTATGGATTGTTATGTTGGATTAATTGAATGTTTCCTGGATTGAGTATTGAACATTGCTGGGGACAACAACGTTTAAATCTGGGAATGGTTTGATGTGCCTCTGGCAAATGTAGTTTTTCAAGCTGAAATTGATAAGAATTGAGTCATAAAAGAGCAATTTATATACATATTTGCTTACTATATTGATTCTTTTCATATCAATGATATTTCTCACCTATTGGTTGTGTTTATATAGGTAGAAGAAGTGAAAACTACAAAATTGTAAAAAGCTAGTTGATGCAACTCCACACTGGTGATCCTCAGTACAATTTCCAGCAAGTTGGCGCGGACTGGCGCCACAACGGCGCAAACCCGCGCCGGGTGCGAATGTCACAGGGTCGTGGTACAAAAGCCAGAAGGTTGGCGCAAGTTGGCGCCACAACGGCGCCAACCCGCGCCGGTTTGTGGAAGGTGCAGCGTGTTTCAGAAAATTGGCAGAGATTTGGCGCAGAGTGGCGCCACAATGGCGCCAACTCGCGCCGGTTAGCGAGACTCACAGGTTCGTGTTTTGCAAGTTCAGAGACTTGGCGCAAAGTGGCGCCACAAATGGCGCCAACCTGCGCCGTTGTGCGGGAAAAAATACCGTGTCCATTAAGGGCAGTTTCAGAAGACGATATGGAGATATAAAAATGACGTTTTCTGACAGCATGGAGGGACTTCCGACAGCAGAAAGGAGGAAAAACAAGGATTGCAGAAGGAGAGGAATGGAGGATTGTTCTTAGTCTTCGTTTTGTAATTACACTCTTTATCTTTATCCTATATAATTTTATGTCAGCCATGACCATGGTTGGCTAGTTTCTTTTTATTGTAGTTAGGGTCACAAACCTTATGTGAACCCTTGTTACGACAGATTGGTTTATAATTACTCGTTTATATATTTATCTTTATTTCTACTCTGTGTGTAATTTCTATCTTCTTTATTAGAATTGATCAATCTGATAGTTGATGATAGTTTGAGGGATAGAACCCTAGATAGGAAAATTGGGGTTTTTTGATCTTGAAAAGGGGTAGGATAACAATTTATATGCATGCTAGGAATAGATGTATATTTAATTGCGGATGCTTAAATTATTGAGTTCATTGCTTAATGCCATGAGGAACATTGCAAGGA